TTGGTTTGCCAACGATATAGTCCGTATGGCATTTATTTTATACTCAACAACCTCAATAGTGTATCCCAACGGATTGTTCTTAAAATGAACATGTACCGTCAACGTTACACCTATGCCAGTACTTGTTTGGAGCACGAAGCTCGAAGTTGTTGACGAGCGTATTTACCTGGGACAAATAGTCCGACTAGGTAAGTCCAACTTTGACAGAGAAGTAGCATTCGGGAAATTACGATCCATCTTCTCGTCAGGTATAGGTACCACAAAACCTGAAAACGAGAGTTTTCAACCAGTGTGTACTGCCAGTGATGACTTATGGATCTGAGACGTAGTTCTTCACTACCGACCGTATGAGGAGAAAATCAGCAAGCTATGGAGAGGGCTATTCTCGGGGTTTCTCTGCGTTATGAACTTAGCAATGGGGATACAGAAGAGGACCGTTAGAGCAATGTGTGATTTAAAACCTGAAGAGTCGTTCATACAAAAATTTGAGGAAATTGATATATTAAATGTAGCCTCTCAATACATTTATAAGCTTAACCTTTTTGGATATAGCGCACTTAATCTGTGGCACGTAAAATATCTACATAATTATTCTTATTAAGATAAAGCACATTTACTCTCCTAAAGAATTCAATGTAACGAGACTTTTTAATCTTAACCCCAAGCGGCAACAACGCATCTGCGTTTTGATTTTTAATCGAGGATATATGTAGGTGTTTATAATAAAATCTAAAAATAAAAATCGCATGGGCAGTTTCCATGAGCTTTTCATTTATATCCTTCACTACATTCTTCAGTCTTCTAGGAACTAAAAGCGGGACCATTCCAATCTTTAAAACGTTGTTAACGAGAGACTTTGGAAGATAAATCTGACACCTCTTTGGGGCAGATGGTTGCCATCACGGTGATAGAACTAGTTGCCGGATTTGAGAAGTCCTCCCCCTCTCTTTGGACCTCAGATAATCCTATAATATTCCAGCGCAATTTGTCTGTCTCTTTTTCGAGCCCCAGTATCTTCTCGTCAGTCCTCACTGTGCGCGCGTTATACGTTGCCAGGTAGAGACGTCTTAGGTGGCAACCGAACTTCCACCGTAGTTTCTTAACACTCCCTGCCCCTTGTCACCATGGTCGCTAACGTAGCCAAGAATTTTATTCACATGCTGGTTGTAGCGGACACGCTTGTTTCTTAATATACTTTTTTATAGGCCATGTAGTAAATCAATGCTTGAAATTGAAATAATTAAAATAATATTTTTATTATTTCAATTCTAAATTCACACGCCTGATTACATAGGTTAGTCGCTAGTCGTAGTAATAACATTTATCGCATGATGCCATCATCATTACAGCATATGATGATGCCATAGATATTTTTTTCGCTAGGTGCAAAATTACTTCGACTATATTTGACTGTCTCCACGTGTTTGTCACATATTAAACCAAGATTCGGGCATGAAAATCTGTCAGCGGATTGGGTGTCACGTTTGCTCATATTCGACCAAAAACGTGTTCGATTGAACATTTCTAACGCTCTGTTGGCGCAATAAATCCAAGTTTTGGTACCGATTAATTACTGTAGATGAAACTTGGATACAAAATTATACGCCCGAAAGAAAAATACATTAAAAATAGTTGACTGCAAAGAGGAACGAAAAAAGTGATGGCGACTGTTTTTTGGGATAGTCATGATATTATATTAGATATATTAGATTTTTGTCACATGAGGAGGCAAACACCTTCGTGAACAATTCTTTTGCAGAGATAAACGCGAAGTACTATTTGGACTTATTAAAGAGATAAGAGCATTGCTGGGAGAAATGTAGAAAGTTTTATTGACTATTAAGAAAAATAAAAATAAGTTTTAAGAAAAAATGTCTTGAACAAAGATTATATAAAACAATTAAACATATAATACATATCTATATAAATATATATATATATATATATATATATATATATATATATATATATATATATATGTATATGTATATATAAATATGTAGCATCTTACCTACGAGTTCACGTTTGTACTAGCTTTTCACTCGCAGCTTTAATAAGTTTCGTGCCAAATTTACCAAAAATTCGATCACTTTTTCTGTTGATCACGGTGTCTGTGTCTCTATATCTGTTTGTTAAAGTTTTTTTGAATTTTCAGAAACTATTGGACGTAGATGATTGATATTTGACAAAGATATAATATGCTACAGGAACACGTATACAATATGCACAAGAAAGATAATAATCTTGAATTAAAATATCCTTATCAAATTCATTCATAATTAAAATTAATGTAGATTTTACAAAATAATGATGAATTTCGTCACCTTCTATTAATTTACGATATAATTTTTATATATCCTAATTTCAATAGAGAAGATGGCTGGATCTGGGTACTACTAGCTGCTTGGAATCTCATGATTAATAAAATTAATCTAAATCCATAGATACTACTGCAATACTTCGTGATACTGTACGCTCGTTATGCGTAGAAATTGAGGATAGCCTTCGTTAACTATGACAACAGTACGTCAAATATGTAAGTATTCCCCGTGACTATAAGTGCTGTTAAGTACCGAAAATGTCGGGAATTAAAAAAAAGTTTAAATTAAATGCGATTAAATCCTTAAAATTAGTTTTATTCCAAATGAAGTTCAATTCACGGTGAACGTAGGAAGACTCATGAACGGGAGTACAACAATAATCTTGTTGTGGCCGAGAAAAAGAATCCCGCTCCTCATATCATCTTGCGAGTGTCGTATGAGGCGTCAGAGGAAAATAAGCAGGAGATGGTCAACATCATTTACTTGACGACATAACAAAATAAAAAACCTGCGATTGCTAACCCGCTTGCCAAGCTTAGCAGTTACAGCAAATATCCAGTCTATTTAACAATTTACGCGGAAGGTCTATATTAAGTTCATTTGACTTTTAATAGGCCGTAATGGTGACTATTATTGGTTCTACTCACTTTTGCTACCCTTAAATTTTATATTAGAATGAAAACAAAATAACATGCCAAAAATATGAATGCAATAAAAACTGCGTAATTGCTCCATTAAAAGTAAAACAGTAGCAGCCTACATACATGTCACTACTGGACACAACCCGCGAGTTTTTGGCCAATAAAAGTATCCACTGCACTCACCATAATTCATCTCACGTAGATGAATTACACTGGGAAATTTCTTGATTATGCAGGTTTCCTCGCAATATTTCCTTCACCGCCGAGAACGTGGTGAATCGCCGCTTTAAAATACAGTTAAAATTTATGCTAAAATATATAAAAATGCTTACGTACCACCAAATTACGTTTGGGTCAGATTGATTATCGCCCTTGAAAAGTAAAATAAAATAAACCTTTGTATAAGTAAAATCTGCTTTCTTTGATAATTGAAGTAAGCTTCCGTAAGATCCTGTTCACATATTCACGTGTGAACTAAATAACCATGACTGTCACAAAAATCTTAATATGTCTGGAAATTCAGAAGCTATCTTAAATAAACTGATTTATAAGTCTCATTTTTGGTTTAGGTGGTAAAGCCATGCTGCTGCTGTATTATGGTTGTAGCACGAATGGATCTGCTTGACCGGTGAAGGACCACAAAATTCTCACAGAACATCTGCGTAAAATAGCAGTTAAATACTGTTGTGTTTCGTATGGTGAGTGTAGAGAACCGGAGATCATTTTTACTGGAAATGAGGGATACCATTGTAGTCCTCAGGGGTGACAACGCATCTGCATTTTGATTCTTAGTCAAAAGTAAATCTATGGGCCACAGCATCCACTTGTATTCAGGTGAACTATTTGCTCTTATGTCATCCCATTCTATAAAACGGTAAAAAAAGTAAAGTAGCAGCTCACATACGTCTCACTACTGTGCACAGGTTTCTTCATTAGGTATAGTGTTTTTTTAGACAGAAAAGAGGATGTTGCAATGTTTTAAGGCGTATTGTATTAACGGTTTCCACAATACCACGGCTTTTCTTAATACTTGAATATCAACCCCTCGAAGTTATTCTTCACCACTTCACCAGACACATGTTAAGTCAGCACGTAACATTTCCTGTAACATATTCGATTGTCCTTGAGGAAATTGTATACGTTATGCTCCCATGCCATTATGAAATTACATGCCTCTTGTATTTGTTTAAATAAAGTACATAAAAACTGAAAAAAAGCTTTTGCACGATTGTTGATCACATTATTAGAAATCCAACGATGCCACAAACTATTCCGGGTTGGCTATAGACATCCGAAACTTGATTCTGACAATGTTTTTAGTCTAGAAAACTTGTTGGGGTTGAACCTATTACACTGTTTTTAGATGTCGCAAATGCGTTTTGAATTAATTACGATAAAAACGAATTTGACTAAAAATTGTGAAAAAACGAAACGCGAATTTGTCAATTTGTTCTCGTATTATAAATTAAATATCCAGTAAATATCAAGTTAGGATAGGCCTCATTCTGTTAATATAGGTCAACATTTATTCAAGTGTCAAATTCAGGTAGTTACTTTACGTAATTCATTGGAAAGCAATTACAACGACAAAACAAAAATCGTCAGTGTGTTTTTATTTTGAAAACAATAATATCAGTTAACAGATTTTAAAATACTACAAACTTGAAAAAGAACATGTAAATACTGCAAATTATTAAATATTTTATATTTTCATTTCATTTCATATTGCCACTGAAATGTGATCATATTGAGACATAATGAGTCACTCGCACCGCTTTATCAGTCACGTTACTCATGTTTTTAGAGTCTAAGCAAAAAATACTTAGTTAATTAACTTTCGTATTATTAATTCATTCAATAAACTGCATTCTAACAGTAAACATGTTTTTAAAAAACTCCATTTCCAACGTCCTCTACAAGCTAGGACATGTCACATGGCGACCCTACCAGACCCAAGAAAGAAACCCCAAGAAATTGAAAAATAAAACCCAATAAATCAATAAATAAGGCCCAAAAAGAAGAAGAGAAATGCAAGAAAATGACAAGAAAGAAGCAATTAGAAAGACCACAGTTTAGAAAAACTAAGAAAGAACAGCTGAATTCAGATACTGAAGAAATACAAGAAAAAGCAGAAGAGTGGAAAAACCAGTCAAAACAACAAGTAGTCAGAGCTCAGAACGCCAAAGGCATCAGCTACAACCAAACAGCAATAGGAAGATCTAAAATACTACACATTGGAAACATAACAATTGTCACCGCAATATCGTCTATCTTCGTCAATACTACATCGTAAAGAAATGCCATCGAGTATCCATCAAAACGTTAAGACGAGAACTGAACACCATCTTGATGGACAACCTAAACCGATTTAAGCCGCACTGCGTACAGCAAGAGGTATCCAGGGAAATACCAAAAATATGAATGCAATAAAAACTGCGTAATTGCTCCATTAAAAGTAAAACAGTAGCAGCCTACATACATGTCACTACTGGACACAACCCGCGAGTTTTTGGCCAATAAAAGTATCCACTGCACTCACCATAATTCATCTCACGTAGATGAATTACACTGGGAAATTTCTTGATTATGCAGGTTTCCTCGCAATATTTCCTTCACCGCCGAGAACGTGGTGAATCGCCGCTTTAAAATACAGTTAAAATTTATGCTAAAATATATAAAAAAGCTTACGCACCACCAAATTACGTTTGGGTCAGATTGATTATCGCCCTTGAAAAGTAAAATAAAATAAACCTTTGTATAAGTAAAATCTGCTTTCTTTGATAATTGAAATAAGCTTCCGTAAGATCCTGTTCACATATTCACGTATGAGCTAAATAACCATGACTGTCACAAAAATCTTAATATGTCTGGAAATTCAGAAGCTATCTTAAATAAACTGATTTATAAGTCTCATTTTTGGTTTAGGTGGTAAAGCCATGCTGCTGCTGTATTATGGTTGTAGCACGAATGGATCTGCTTGACCGGTGAAGGACCACAAAATTCTCACAGAACATCTGCGTAAAATAGCAGTTAAATACTGTTGTGTTTCGTATGGTGAGTGTAGAGAAGAGTGTAGTCCTCAGGGGTGACAACGCATCTGCATTTTGATTCTTAGTCAAAAGTAAATCTATGGGCCACAGCATCCACTTGTATTCAGGTGAACTATTTGCTCTTATGTCATCCCATTCTATAAAACGGTAAAAAAGTAAAGTAGCAGCTCACATACGTCTCACTACTGTGCACAGGTTTCTTCATTAGGTATAGTGTTTTTTTAGACAGAAAAGAGGATGTTGCAATGTTTTAAGGCGTATTGTATTAACGGTTTCCATAATACCACGGCTTTTCTTAATACTTGAATATCAACCCCTCGAAGTTATTCTTCACCACTTCACCAGACACATGTTAAGTCAGCACGTAACATTTCCTGTAACACATTCGATTGTCCTTGAGGAAATTGTATACGTTATGCTCCCGTGCCATTATGAAATTACATGCCTCTTGTATTTGTTTAAATAAGGTACATAAAAACTGAAAAAAAGCTTTTGCACGATTGTTGATCACATTATTAGAAATCCAACGATGCCACAAACTATTCCGGGTTGGCTATAGACATCCGATACTTGATTCTGACAATGTTTTTAGTCTAGAAAACTTGTTAGGGTTGAACCTATTACACTGTTTTTAGATGTCGCAAATGCGTTTTGAATTAATTACGATAAAAACGAATTTGACTAAAAATTGTGAAATAACGAAACGCAAATTTGTCAATTTGTTCTCGTATTATAAAGTAAATATCTGGTACTTGATTTTTAATTTTGTTTTCAATTTAGGAGGATTGTCAACTCGAAACATTTACACTGTTTTTGGATTTCGTAAATGCCTTTTGAATTAATTATGATAAAAATAAATTTCACTAAAATTGCATATAACGAAACGCAAGTATGTCATCTTTTTTTAGAGAGGGGGCTTTACATGACCCTCCCCTCCCCTCTCCCCTACCCCTCCCAACACCGTACGCGAGTACCGAACGTCTATAGTTTACCAACTATTCCATCAAATAGAGATAAAAATCTCACAGTGCACTTAATACTCAATAATTTACATGAGATATACTGATAACATATGAACATTATGTAATTAAAGCTATGACGATAGATACCCAATATATTCAACTAGAGCTTTTCTCTTAATCACAGACCAGAAATACCAGACCCAGAACAAGAAGATGACAGCATAGCCTGGAGCCCCAACAACCACCTTCGTGCCCGCCCTGTCCTTGGACTGCACCGATGCACACACCTCGTTGCCGAAGTCCCATAGAAATTAATTGGGTTAGCCAGTTAATAAAATAAGTCGTATTTTAATTAGTATTTCATTCTTTTATCGATAAAGTAAGATAGTATTTTTGTTTCGTCTACCCATGTTTTAACGTGATGTCCTTGTTAGAGTTACAAAAACTACAAAATGATTTAAAAGAAATTATGCCCCAACAACCACCTTCGTGCCCACCCCATCCTTGGACTGTACCGATGCACACACCTCGTTGCCGAAGTCCCATAGAAATTGATTGGGTTAGCCAGTTAATAAAATAAGTCGTATTTTAATTAGTATTTCATTCTTTTATCGATAAAGTAAGATAATATTTTTGTTTCGTCTACTTATGTTTTAACGTGATGTCCTTGTTAGAGTTACAAAAACTACAAAATGATTTAAAATAAATTATGGAATATTTAGTTAAAATCGGCCCTGCTCGTAGAGAAAACTCAGAAATAACTAAAAATAAAGATACTACAGCAAAATAATTGTACAGAAGCTTGGAGTATACTTCATCTCAAATTAAGGTTAAAACTGAAAATTCTGAGATAAGCATTGAGAATTTGCAGCACATTAATGAGTGTATAAAAAACATACATTTCACCTATAAGAAAATTATTCTTTTATTGCTAGTAAAATCTTCTATTCAGCCAATTGCCACAATGGGTACTGAAAGTTTTGATTTGAAAACTGATATTTCCTTACTTCCGATTATGAATAACCAGGAAAACGTAACTAACCAATTGACGGACAATATTTAATTGTACATTAGTATGTGTGAAATTGCGTCTTCAAAATAATTACAAAGATATGAATTCTCTGGTTACAGATATGCGTAAACACTTGCTTCAAAAGAAACCTGCTGTAACCTTACAAACACAGCTTTTGTGTACCACAGAGGGTCGTACGAGTATTGAAAATTCGGTTCCAAAGTAGAGCAACTTTTCTTTGATTTAACATTAAATCAGGCCGACGGAGATGATGGGAAATATGATACCTTACGTTCATTGGATTAAAAAATAGCTATAAAATGTTTCTCCGATGGTCTGTCCAATGCGAGGTTGAGTATAATCATTGCATATCATAATTTTGTTTCCCTCTCAGAGGTCATTCATGCAGAAGTCGATGAAAACACAGTTTTGTAAATGAACAGGTAATGAATTTTACGCAACTCATTGTAACCGATTCAGAATAGGCGAGGTCGAGGTAATTTGTACAGAAATTATTATAACCGAAATCCCAACCATCATGGTCACCCTAGCAATTCGACTACTCGTAATTATAATAACACGCCTCGTACGGAGCTAGCTAGAGGTATTTTTTGTAGTAGACTCCAGCGTAGAACTCAGAGAGGTCAGAATGCAAATCGCTCATCCTCTAACTCATATTCGGGACATGTTTTTCAAACACAGTCATAACCCGCGGTAGAGCAAGAGTGCACTCATAGTGCACCGAATAGCGAGTTGTTTCGTAGCCAGTAGCGATAAGTTTGTTTTAAATTACAATGTAAATATCATAATCCGTTTAGGTACAGAAATAAATCATTAATTATGTCTTAGTAGATAGTGGCGCAAGCCTTTGCGTATTGAAACATGAGTTGCTAGTTGAGCATCCTCATTACGATAACAAATTATGCTATAATAAAATTCATTAAAGGTGTAATTGGTAAATCAGTCTCTGAATGATATTTATATTTAGATTTAGTCAGTAATAATGTTTTTAGGCAAAAGTTTTATGTTTTTAATAACCTAGCGTGTTCTGCCGACGGAATATTAGGAGATGATTTTTTGAAGCGATATAACGCTATTAAAAATTCACGAATCCACTTAACTTACCTTATCAAATGACGGAAACGTAATAAATTTGAGTATTGAGTTATTGATAAAAATAAGGGTCATTACACACACGTGATACCAGCACGGTGTGAAATAACAAAATACATCCCTTATCTTGTAAAGATGGTAACGTAGTTTTAGCGCAAGATATTAGCGATTGAATTTATATTGCGGGAATGATATATAGGCCAGTTAACAGTAAAATTCTCTTAAGAATTTTAAATAGAAGGAATGAGAATGTTACTTTAGATTTTTTAAATATTCAGGTACATTCAATAAATAATTTTAACTTTTGTCACCTCGAAAATATATTATACGTGGTAGAGCCATGCTGCAGTTATATCAGTAGCATAGTTGTAGCACTATTGGGTCGGCTCAACTGGGGAAGTACCACGATCTCAAAGATTACTAGCGTGAAATAGTAGCTTAATACTGCTGTGTCTCGTATGGTGAGTGTAGAGAACCAGATACCCTTTTTACTGGAAAAGAGGCATTCCATCTAAGTCCTCACGGGTGACAACGCATCTGCATTTTGATTTCTAATCGAGGATAGATGTAGATATCTATGGGCCACAGAAACCACTTACCATCAGGTGAAGTGTGTGCTCGTTTGTCACCCTATCCTATAAAAAATGAGCACAAATCAGTATAGCGAGTTAAGACGTCGTTCGAATTGCTTGACCTCAGTAACTTAAATACAGAAGAAAGGCTAGGTAGCGAGCAGATTTGTGCTAAGTACGGAGATGTGTTCCACTTGTTAGGAGATTATTTATCAGTAACATATTTAATAGAGCATAATATCGGTTTGAAAGAGAATGTGACATCTGTTTATTTCAAACCTTACCGTATCTCCCATGCCTTAAAGCAGGTACGGTAGATGTTAGACAATGATCCAGTCCTTTTGGTGTTCTTTTGGTGACAAAAAAAGCTTTTTAATTAAGCGGAAAAAAAATGAGATTAGTAATCGACAACAGACAACTAAATAATCAAATCAGAATGATAAATTTCCGTTATCAAACATTACCGATATTTTTACCGATATTTTGTCAATCATATTACCAGCTTTCCTTAAAACCTGATTCACGAAAGTACACTTCTTTTGCTTGAATAAGATGTATCAACTTTCTTTGGACGAAGAGTTACG